TTACAGTAAAATTCGAAAACAGTTTACCCCCAGACACTCACGCGTTGTTTCTCGGCCCGTACCCGAAATCCTACCAACCAAATATGGTTAGCGTGTAAATAATCACATCCTAAGAATAGATCTTCCTCCCTTTCATAACAACCGCAGTACGTGTAATACCGTACCTCACAGGAAACTTCTATACACTCGTACCTCAGTGCCCCTCCATATCCTGACATCCTTCCTTCTCAGCACCGCTATGTATGTATCTAAGAACTGCTAGAATCCTTGCGCAATATGGCATCAAGCCTTCCCCCCTCAAAACTTAGCCTTATCAGTGATATGATACAAAGCCAAGCACTAACCCGTTCTTAAATGGCAGAGGCTGCAGAATGCACTGAACAAACGATCAAGAATATCCGCAGAAACCTGCGACTGTTTGGACACGTCCATGCCCCTTCAACTGGAGACGAAGTATTACGCCGCCGATGCTAGAAGCACTCTGTGACCATCTGCTGGGAAAGCCAGGCCTATACCTTGAGGAGATGACTATCCTTCTATGCGATGAATTTCGCATGCTAGCATCAATATCTAGCATTAGGAGGGTCCTTGTATCCAAAGGCTGGTCCAAAAAGACTGCCCAACAAAGGGCTAAAGAGCAGAATGCCGAATTACGAGAAATTTACCCTCATAACCTCTCCGAACTCGAGTCGTACCACCTTGTTTACGTTGATGAATCTAGATGCGATAAGCGCATAGGGTTCCGACGAACGGGTTGGTCACCACTCGGTGTATGTAGCACCTCGGCAAGTGTCTCAGTTCCACCGTGACGAGCGTTATCAAATTCTGCCTGCGTATGCCCAAGATGGTATTTTGATGACTCGCGTCTTTTGCGGTTCGACCGATGCCGCTGTGTTTGAAGATTTCTTCACTGAACTCCTTTGTCATTGCGGGAGATGGCTGGAGCCGAAGTCTGTTCTGGTCATGGATAATGCCTCGTTCCATCACTCTGAGCGGATTAAACAGATGTGTACCGATGCGGGAGTCAAATCAGTTTATTCGCCTCCTTACTCGCCGGACCTGAATCCAATTGAAGAGTGTTTTGCTGAACTCAAAGCCTACATAAGACGCAATTGGAGCTACTACGCAGAAGATCCGGACCGAGAATTCGCCTCCTTTCTCGAGCGGTGTATCAATCGTGTTGTTGCAAGAGAAGGTAATGCTAGAGGCCATTTTCGGCACGCAGGCTTGACTATTGAAGAATTGGATAATTGAAATTCGGCCTTGAGCCTGTAAAGCCGCTTGCTACCTCTGTGTCCTCAATTCACAGCTTCCTATACCACAGACAAGATTCTGGTCGATATAGACCATTACAAACTAGTAGAGCCAACACTGCTAGGAGCGGCACACTGTCCTTATCTAAGACCACTCCCCTGAGTTCCACCTGGCGGGGCGGTTCCACGAGGGGGGGCAGTTCCATGAGGCGGGGCCGTCCTGGGGCCAGTTCCATGAGGGGGAGGTATTTCACGAGAAGAAACACCTGTATCAGCAGCATGGCTTCGAGCATTGTCATCTCCACGGCTTTCCCTATTGCTCCTTTCTCTTTCCTGTCTCCGCTGCTTCTTCTCCCTTCTCCTCATCTGCCTTCGCCCGTTTGATTCCTCATTATCTGGTCGCGGAAGAAAGACTGAGCCACCGCCGACCCGCCAGTGAAGAATGTACCAAGTGCTTTGTGTGCGTAAGACTGGAGTCGACAAGCGAACAGTGACATGTGGAACTGGGCTTGGGTCATGGGTACTTGTAGTGGGATGAAGGCCGTTGCTAGAATCAGTCAGTAAAAGGAGTTTTTGCACACTGTCTGCCTATCACCTACAGAACATGTGCCTGATCAAAAAGAACTTCACTTCCGTCATGAATCACAAATCGGTTATTCGTTAATCCATTGTTGGAATTGGTTATGATAAAGACGAGGAAAGTTTTGGTCACAATCTGGATCATAAGTGACTTGAACAGACATTGTGTCTAGGCAATTCTGAACACGGTTTTGTTGTTTATGCGATGGTCAATAGCTAGATTTTTGTGGAATAGGTTGCATTTAACTTTGGCGATGCACCCGCAATTTCATATGTTTGGTGTTGGTCAACGGAGCTGGTCAAATGGTGCCGATTACACCTAGGTGAGCGCTTGATCAAACAAAAATGGTGTTAGTATAGCGCGCAAAAAACACATTCGGTAAGCCGGCGTTTAAATCAAGCACGAAAGCACTTTGAATCTTATTTTTAACATAAGAAGCAAGTTTCGTTGGACCACAGGAACCAGTTCTAAAAATACTCAATATTCAGTGTTGCCGTTATTTTATGTGGGCGGCTATGAGTGTCCAAAGCGGTGTGTTCTATCCAATCACTCAGGGTGCCAAGACTTGGCCACCAAGTCAGGTTAGTCATCCAACTCTAGCCCGTTTCAAATTGTGACGTTCGCCTTTCCCCCAAACGCGTCTTGCTCTCGTCCGCTATGCGTTCTAAGATGGATCTATCTCTATACTGTCAAAACAACCTTCTTTATACACAGGAGTCATTGTCAAAATATCAACCTGGAGGATACCATCCAGTCAACCTCGGAGATACATTTGAAAATGGCCGTTACAAGGTACATCACAAGTTAGGATGGGGTGGCTTTTCCACAGTATGGCTTGCGAAAGACAGAGAGTCAGTTCGTCCAACACCAATTTTGCTCATATCTAGCTAATCTCACGCCAGCCGAAATCAATGGGTCTCCTTGAAAATCATGACTGCAAATTCGTCGATATCGCGAGAGCTGGAAACTTTGAACTTCTTAGAGAGGCAATCTCGAAGAGGGCTTTCTTCAAACTATGTTGTTCAACTGCTTGATGCCTTCCCTCACAAAGGCCCCAACGGGGTCCACCAATGTCTTGTATTTGAATTACTTGGTCCTTCGGTCGATAAGGTCCTCTCGGACTACCATGAAAGTTACGACAAGCTCCACCCGGAAACCGTGCTCCGAATTTCTACGCAGCTTTTGAAGGCTGTCAAATCTATTCACAGTGCCGGCATGTGCCATGGAGGTGAGGTTGCTTCCCTCTCTGCAGTTGTTTTCTGTGATTAGAGCCATTTTACTCACTTATTATCAGACATTAGTGGTCGGAACGTTGCATTCACTTGCACTCATTTGTCCAAACAAACGGAGGAGCAGCTTTTTGATGTTATTGGTTTCCCGGAGATTGAGCCGCTGAAACGAATTGATGGCACTCCTCTGGGGAATGAATTGCCGGCCCAACTGATCAAGGCGGCAGAATGGACTGAGTGGATAGACGAGGACGACGAAGATATTCGGCTTCTTGATTTTGGAGAGAGTTTCTATCAGGGACAGGAACCTCGGAAACTGGCCCAGCCGGGTTCATTGAGGGTACCAGAGACGATTTTTACCGACTGCTTTGATTATCGCGTCGATTTGTGGCGCACAGGTTGCATGGTAAGTAAACATATCATTTCCTTGAAGAGAATATACTTACGGGGATATGAACTGTAGATATATTCCTTCTTATTCACGACCTGGCCATTCTGGTATCTTGGCGAGGACGAAGTTTTAATTTTTCAAATGATTGGCTTTGTGGAGAGATTGCCGGCTGAATGGGAGTCTAAGTGGCAATTAATGCAGATGACGTCTAGCCATAATCTGGAGCTAGAAGAAGGTAATCAAACTGATCCGCATCCAGAATTGTTGCTAATTTTGCTTGAAGAATATGGAACCTCGAAGCTTGAGCAGAAGTTTGCTGGTTTGGTACCCGATCCAACACTCGAACCTCTACTTCATGTGATCCAAGGATTGATGCGATTTTTACCGTCTAGTCGCCTTACTGCAGAAGCGGCACTTGATTTGCTGGGTAACGCTCAAGATTAATGGATGAATAAAGCCAATAGATCGCGCATCTACGAAGTAGGGCCGCGTCATCTAACACGACAAATATGTTCAACTCGTACCCCAAAATGCTAATACCCAAGGCCAAAACAATCATCTATACCATTTCAATAACGGGTATTCCCTTCTTCACGTTCTCAGCCCAGTCACGAATATACTCTACAAAACTTCAGGCAATGCCAGGCTTGATTCCCTTGCTGACGAAGAATTCAGGATTTTGATCCTTGTAGGTGTGCTCAAGTTCAAAGCCATCTGACAGCGGTATATCGCACGCTTGTCGGAATCCAGCCTTGAGGGCATCATTGGATACATTTGATGCAAGCCACTCGCCGTATTCTTTGACACGTCTTTGAACCCGGGAATCTTGAATGAAACCACATCTTTCAGCCTCACTGAATCAACAGCCGGAGCCGTTGTGGCTAATCCAGGAGTGTGAGTGTGATGGGCGAACATTGATGTTGATAGGCGGATACGGCGTTCCACCGCCGAGACTGTTACCGCCACTTCGCTTTTCTTTCTCTTGCTTCTGCTGATCCACCACGTAGAACTCATCCCGGATTTCATCTGGAACGTCTTTGTGCGTCTCCAGGACACCACCTTTCTCAACATAGGTAACCAGACGCCTGAGAGTTTGCGTTCGGAGTCGATAATGCTTCTTACCCCTTGGATCTAGCCAGTAGTAGGGGCCCAAGTGGCATGCAGATGAAACACATTTCATCAAGTCATAAACGCGCCGCCAAATTGCTGGTTGTTCGCATGCATTTTCTTCGGCATCTATCTGCGCATCTCGGTTGTCAAGCATCCTCCGTGTGACAGAAGATTTATCTCTTTCCCCCTTTCCGTCCAGCGGATGGAGGAGCACAATCCTCTACGTAATTGAAACAATCCCTCAACGTGAGTCTCTTTCCACGACAGAAATGAGTCGACCACATCCGGAGCTGTTTCTCGATAGGAGCCCAAACAATATCGGTTTTGTTGAAGCGCTTGGTCAGATCACGTTAGGAACGGTCATTGACCGACACAACAATCGCAGTGTCATCGACCCTGACCCTCTTGTTGCGGGAGACCTTCTCGCGAAGGACGCTTTATAGCTTTTCTTCTAGAAACAACCGCCAGTAGGCGCTTGGGGCCAATACCAGATCTTCTTCCGTGTCCTTTGCCACGGCCTTGTTATTGAGAGTGACTCGCCATTCTATGGAATAGTGGATACAGCTTGCCGGATCCTCGTCGTATATCTTGTCTTTCTCCCATTCAGATTCCTGGAGCAGAGGTACATTGTGAGGTCGAGTTTGGCTTGCGGGGTTGGGCTCATCGTCGAGTATGATAGATGGGGAGGAACTACAGTTTGACTGTGTAGAAGGGCTTCGGAAGTATCCCGGGGTAGGGGGGGAATATTGTGAATCATGTTCCCATGGTTCGAGCTCTTGGGGTTGTGAGGCGTAATCATCGTGGTACGGCCTGCCATTCATATCTACAGAAGATCAAGGCCCTGGAGGTCTGTCATCATAGGTGGGCGATGCCAGTTGTGAGCAGACGCCCAATAACGAATGAGAGCGATGAAAAAGAGCAAGAGTCATGGGAAACATAGAGAATCACTTTAGCCTACCAGGGTTAGTCCTCTATACCAGTCGTACAGCCTTCGTTATAGAAGTGGTAAATGAAGACGAATGCTACGGAGGAAAAGGAAGAAAGAGAGTGGGCATGAATTTAGCCACATTGCTAGAATTCCCCCTTTCTAGATCAGTCCCCTCCCTAGAACATTCTATGGGTGTACATGGTATTTTACAATGACTGATTTGACAATAAATCCCAACGCTGGAGGATTCTTGTATGGTTGTGCACTTCAGGCGGCTGCTCGACGCACGAGTTTGGAGCTGGCGCAGTTGCTGCTAAATTGAGACGCAGATATTAACACAGCTGGCGGCTATCATAGTAGTGCGTTGCTAGGAGCCACTCAATATGGAAACACAGAGATAGTGGTTTTTTTGATGAATGCCGGTGTGAACCTAAACGAACATGGGCACTATGGCACTGCAATAGCTGTAGTGCGGGACAAACAATTAGAAGGTGTGGTGAGAGTCCTCGACAATGCTGGTGCGGTTGAGTGGCGACCGGATCTATGGAATGATGACCTCTGGAATCAAGTTTCTTTCCATAGGCACTAGTCAAAACCTCTTTTTTTTCAATCCAGAGTGCTTGTTATGAAGTATGATTTATATTTTTATCAACTATTTTGCTCCCGCCTTGTTTAGTTATGGCTTTTCATGTTCCATAAGGAGTATATTTAGATAATTCCATACGACGGTCAAAATCACCCGGCTATATTACGTCACTACCTAAGCTATTATACATACTAAACATATTGAACTCTTGATCGTTTCAAACGCTCGAACTGGAAAATCATGTTGTGTTGTAATAATGGTTATGGTATTTGATGTTATCTATGATATCTAGTACCCATGAAACTATCTTTCATGACAGTTCGGCCCCGTGAAATAAGACCTAACTACGTGTAGCTTAGCGTACTCGAAAGCGAGTCTTTGGGAAAGAATCCATGTGACTATTTAAAGGCTCTAGACCTACACCCCGTTCTGGTACACCAGAATCTGTACTAATACTCACAGACAATACATCATCATCTGAAGCTGCACTATGATGTACAGTTAACTCAGGATTATCTGCTAATTCTGGGTTATCTAGATGCATAAATACATTACCTTCTACTGGTTGTATATTACTTTCTATATTGATATGAGGATTAGAAGGTGGTGAAAATCATTTCGATCCATGCTGCAAAATACCAGCAGGGCAGTTGAGCATTCTCCTGGGCCATCTTTTCGGATATACTAGGAAGAATAATAGTTATCAGTGTCAAGGTTCTAAATATATCTAGTACAAGTGTTCAATAGTCGGGATTTAACCATATATTCACCAAGAGATATAATGAGAATAGCGGCAAATTCTACCCTTTTTGTCATGCTTGTTTTAAGCTTTAGCTTTTCTTGGCCTACCTAGTCAGTACAACTTGGCATGTAAAGGAGAGGGAAGGTGAGAGCCATTAGTCCCACTTGAATTTGTCGGCTGACATATCCCCTGGTGCGGATGCATTCAAGAATTGCCCAAGTTGGAACCCTCGATCTCGAACTGGCATCACGATCTCATGATTTACTCCAAATGGTCTTGTTTTCTGGTAATTGGTCAGAGCCCAAATTCATCACATATACAAATTTGACCCCGATCAGAGAAAAGTGGGCTGATAAGGATTTTTTACACATGTACCAGGAGATGATGTTCAAATCCAAAAGGGCAAATTTAAATCCAGTCCGTGCCGTCATACATAACTATATAGTGACGAATATGATGTGATGTGTCTTGTCATATGTTGAGAAGACCTTGCTATTCATAGCTCAAGGCCGGTACTCTAATGCCGAACTTAGCTCTACCCCTCTATTGCAAAAATATATTTGCCGGCTGACTTATTATAATACCTTTGGTGATCGGAGCCGGACATCGATCCATCTTGTATTTATATATCATTGCAGCTGCGCTTGACTCCAACCAGTGGTCGATAGAACCCTCATACTCCCTTTGGCTTGAAGAGAGTGAGTCTATATTCCGACCTAGACAATGAGAAAAAGTCACACTAATTGACGTTAGAAATCAGAATGCGTGTTGCCATTTGCCAACTATGTGTTCACTGTCTCGATGAAACTACGTGCTTTTCAAATATTCGTATATTTCCTACCGATCCTGGAGCTCGCTATGTCGCCTTCTGGTCTTTTATCCTCGCGTCCAAGAGAAAAATCAACATTCACACGTTTTGTGATGATTGTTGTAGAGATCGACAAACATTTGTTTCTGAGCAGGAAAAAAGTTTCATTTTTAAACGAAGGGCTCAAGCCGAATTCAATGACCGAGGCTCATGGATCAGGCGGCAGTGGCATTTTTGGATGGTGAGCTCAGAGTGGCAAGTCCTCCGGGAAACCCTAAATCGCGAACATCAACTGCGCCTTCAGATTGGCACTCACGCGGCCCTTTGCTAGAGCTTCAGACTAGATCTGCTGGCACCGAAATCTGAGGTTGAATTTTACTTTGGATTATCTGCCTCGATTTATCAGTTAGTCTTTCGATACAAATTGATTGAATGCTGCTCCGTGAAAATTTTGTCTGAGTGAAAAAATGTCATAAATGGGAAATTAATTTACGAAGACCTAAAAATCATGGGTCGAAATTTTATACTTCTTTACAGAGAAAAAGAATCATTTAGAAAGATACTGTAATACTTCCGACAAGATTTGCGATCTGACAGTGCTGGTTTCGCCACAAGACTGACCGCGATTGTGAAAATAATTATAGTTCCTACAGTGAAACATTATTTTTACATACAACTGGGAATCTTGAACGGGTGATTGCTGCTGACAACATGTCTAAAACAACCAGCTGACCGCTGCATAATATAAGGCCAAAATCTTGTTTGAACGTTTTCACTCGCCAATGTAATTTCAGGAACGACAATGACATCATGATCATTGCCATAATGTGCTAATAGATTCGCGGAGCTCCCCCTGATGGCAGGTCTTCTATTGGAGTCTTTTGTTGGCTATGGATCAATTTTTTGTCTGGCAAAATAACTGCGTGCGAGATTGTGAAAAGAGAAGAAAGAGGCCTCAAAAAGTCCCCGGGTCTTTGATTTTCTCGAATCCCAATCTCCCGGAAGGCTCAACTGAAGGTGAAATTGGTAGATCAGACGATGCCTCACGGGCAAAGACGGTTCATGTCGCTTCGGCGAGAGGTCTCTATTAAAAATTGCTACTACTGTATGAAGGTGTATATATGGTTTCTTGAATGTGATTTTCCTTTCTGTCATCAAATACAATAGTATACGAAACCGGTTTATACATCCACACTCGTATGGCTTGATTTCCAGAAAATCAATCCGAGAGGTGCTAAGCTGCTCTGGCTCCCCGCCTGCAATTCCCAGCAGAAGTGTTATGGTAAGAACGTTGAGGTACCATTGCTGTGTTGTAATTGTACATGAAACTTGGCTCAAACCATGCCCCTGCTCGTTCAATATGGCAGGATTTCTGTAAGTCAGCAGCTGCATGCCGCTTGCATCCCTAAATTTGTCTGAAATAGGATGACGGATTTTTCACACGGTGCTACACCGAGCTTTCCAAATTGTATTATGTCATAGAGTACGTAATCATCTCAATCTTTGAAGCTTACTCTTCGGCCGACTTTTGAATTGATTGGTATATCAACTCGAGCTGACATGCATGGGAACCAGGTCATTGGGCCCTTGGGGCCTTGATTCCGTAATATAGCACGTAAAATGTCACATGGCTGAAACTCCTAGAAGAGCATCTACTTTTAAACAAGAGAAGAGTTCGTGAAACGGCCACAGTTCCAAAAGATTCCCGGTCCAACCCGGATCCCTTTATCACACGGACAATCTTCAAGCTCAAGTTTGGATCATTCTCTCTGTCAATATTGCGGCGAGTGCTAACCATAAACGAAGGCAATGACAACCTTTACGTGTGCAGAACATGGTAGCGATTTCAGAAACCGGCGTGCTGTGATTGAACACATCCGAGGTTCCCATGTTAGCTTCATCAGGAGGCCTGGCCGTCCAGGAGAGTTTGACACCCATGGGCATATGTGGTATTGCTTTGATTGTGAATCTCGAAATTTCAACGATCACCGTAGTTACAATTCCGACAACGCGATGTGGGGACACCTTGCACAGGCACACAGTTATGTGTTTGATAGCATCATGTGGTAACGTCCACTATGAACTCGCATACGGTACGATCTTACCACGATATTTTGGAGGAATAGAAATATCAGGAGTACTCAATTTTTCGAGTGGCATCTTGTTTGAGCATCTGCAGTGCTATTACAATATAGATCTGCTCCCAGCCTCGAAAATATTGGTTACGAATCAAGATGCTGGGGGTCAGGGTGGATAATTCTACTACGACATCCAACTCCTCCATGTACGAAAGACCCTCTCATTGTCCTCAGCACGCTACTTGGACTCATTATGAGCGCTGGACTGCGACGCATGCTCAATGAGGATATCTGCTGTAGTATAAATTTCGCTTAATTATCTTCTGTCCGTGGTAGTTTACCACTCAACCCGTTCTGAACAGGATCCACAAGAAAAGCTTACCAAGAAGCAAGCCTCTGATTTTGAGTAGTCTCGTGAGAGGCGGACGGATGTACTTAAAAAGACAGCTGTTAAGTGAAAACCCATTGCTGCGTACGATGCCTGACCGATTGATTCATTGTCGACATCTTCTTCGGTGTAGCCATTTGCCTCTTATCCAGCTCATCAATTTATTTTTCAAAACAAAAGATACATATGCTCGGTCCTGACCACACATTTACCAGTCTAGAAAGCGGTCTGAAGTGCGGGGCCTTTAAGACTCACTGACTTCAAAGTTGTTATCCGGGAGCCAAGTCGCGAGAGTGTGAAGGTATAACTGATTTTGAATGTTACTGCAATCAGAAGAGACTGGGACATATCTGTCTAGTGTCGCTACACAAAGGCCGACAGTAAAATCAAGAGCCGCTTTGACTAATTTGGTGTTGATCATCGGGGCAAGATTTTTCGAAGGTTTGGAAAATCTGGATCATACTAATGGCCAGATTCCGTAACTCATAATACATAGCTCACGCCGAGTAGAGCTCAACTATGAACTTTATAAAATATGCGCATAATGGTACGTGTGCTTTGATCTTCAACTCATCTATTATGAAGTAATCTGCCTCGTCATCGATGCACATGTGAATTAACATGGAAGACAGTCATGCAGGGGATGCACAGTCAGCTGCGCGACATCCCATCGCTTGAACACAGATTCCCACGCTATCATGAACGAGACAAGAAAGCCATGTTCTCCCAAGTACATAATCTTTAGATCGTTGCATCTTGAACTGATATGCAAACTTTATGTATGTTACAGCAGTGACCAGAAACTTGTGACGATTATGGGAGACCATATGTGGACGATTTCGTATGCATTGCTGCCTCAGCCCACTCAGTTTAGATTTAGGCGTGCTGGAAGTGATGGGGCAAAGTCCACCATCTCTATGCACTTGACTCCAGCACACGATATGTACATGTACACGCGTACATTCCAGAGGATTTTTCCGGGGAGTGGAAAACATATCGCGGGATTTCCACTACCTTTGTGCCCAGAAATAGTTGGGGCTCCCGCCTCCTTAGATAGTCCTAACATGGATGTTCTCTTCTTTCTTCCCTTTCAATCATTGTTTGAAAAACTGATCTTTTAAAGTGTATTTATTTTCACCCAAAAGCCAATGAGACCTTCGGAATACACATTGAGTCTGAGGTCGTCCATGGTATTCTTTGTCCTGTGGTCATAACGAGTCTTCAAGTCGGTGGAATTTCATTTTGAGTCACAAGAGATATGCCATAGAGCCCAGATATTTGGGAATGAACGGTGATCGGGATAGAATAAGGCGTGGTAGCTAGAGATACTATGTGTGGTATGCAGTACGCTTGCATATATCAGCTACTAGACTTTGAGCTGACTGTCTTTTGTCTAAAATGAATGTATGGGGACCGACCCTTTCGTGTATTTGATTCAACATAATGCGAAGCACCCAGGCGATGTCTCTAAATAAATAGTATGGTGCAAAGGTCAGACAACCATATGGGAAGCCTCGGTATTGACGAGGGAAGTAGTTTACTTAATCTAACTCCTGCTCTTTGCTCAAAAGAGGCTCTGTCCACGAACTATTAAGATTTAAAACTCATTCATGTATATGTGATGAAATACAAAACTAAATCATCTTGATATTGTGGATAGCAGGTGGCTATATGGCTTTGATGGCAGATTTGTGTATATTCTTTTTTTTTTCAATCTTCATCTCGCCTATCGATTCATAATTTGAGTGAAATAGTAGGTTTCATTGACGTATGAAAGGCAATGGATACTACTCCAGCGTTGGAAAAAGAACTCCTCTCACATGGATGGCCTCCCACATCGGGGTCTGTTTGGATTCTCAGACAGCCAAATGTATACTACGGAGTTTACAACTGGACTGATATTTTTTAAACGGGGCATTCACGCGGATATTCCTGAAAAGCACTCCTTTCATGAGCTTTGGATTTGGGCCAGGGGGTTGAGGCTTGCGAGGCTAGAGAATGCAAAGCCTATCAAGCCGACTCGACATATTACAAAACCCACCTCGTATGCTGTATGTACCTTAAAAATGGGAAGGTTCGGAGCCTCAACAAACTTGTACTGCTCTATCAACCTTAATTCTGTGCCAAGTCCAATATTCCATAAATTTCTTTTCTGGTTGCCATGGGAGAATTGGATTTATTCCAAGTATGTCTTTGGAGCCAAGCTCATATGTACATATTTCACCATCTCTCCCTTCCTCCTCGAATCCCACAGGAAATGGTAAGGATTTTGAGCAAGAGATTTTCCCACTTCAATAGCTTCATTGAAGCCCTGAGTGCGTTTACGAAATTTTCCTGACCGAACACTTTGATATTCTCGGCAACCCCACGAACCTCCGCGGCCTCCTTCGAACTCTTCCAGTTCCTTTCCAGTATTCTAGCTACAAAAAACGTTACTATGACCATCCGGAATCCGATTAGATCGATCTTTATTGATGACGCGTTCCAACGACCTGCCAGATGGATTCAGACATTCATCGTCGTGTCTCTCGGGATAGAACAAATGTGATACCAATGATGATCATGATTCCTCACGAACTCAATTCTTTGATGACTGGAATACAGAAGATCTTGTCCATTGCACATGCCCGCTTATACAATGTCTCTAATATCGTGGATGATATCGAAGCTCATGATTTACTTTTGATCTTGCTCAATTTGTTCGCCGGACACGTTGAATATTGATTTACACTCCGAGTCCAAGGGCCTCTGAGCTTTGGGGGGCAGCATCTTTCGAAACACCAGTCAGATTGGTGGTTGACGCGGACGATTCTATCCACAGCGACCATCGAGGACGGGGACAAGGTCTTAGCGCAAGTCTGAGCTAGCTCTTCAGAATTTTGATACATATCCCAGATCAGAAAGAATTGTCAGGATATTGGACGAATACCCATCGGCCACGTTCTCGATGGCTTATTCTTTCTTCCACCCGACCTTGACGAATCAGCGAGAGCGTTCGTTTACGACACTTCCACAGACTTGCGGTTTGATTACTCATATAAAAATCGATTTTCCATGATGCATCTGTACTGTCACCAGGAAATCTTGATCTTCTTTACTCAAAATTATCACTTCCCTCGCGGACCTTTAGTCTCCCACAAGACTCCATTGTTTTGTATCTCTCTAGATTCTTTTTAAGGGCCGGCCAATACGACTTTCATCGATTCGCAAATAAGGTAAGGTGAGTGTCCCACATGTTGTCAGGGCAGTTTGTCCTTGTACGAACAGGGTAGCACGATACTAAGTCCGAAAGCCCATATGATTTGTGCCAGAATTTATGTCCTCAGCTTCATCCTCTGATACTGCACACTATTACGGCAAGCGATAAATACTGCAAGAGTTGAAGCAGTTGTTTACCATAGAAAAATGCTTGGAGGTTGCCGTTACATTGATTTGATGGGTTGCGCAAAGTTCCAGAGGAATGAGCAAAGCTATGTATATATGGCCTCAATATGCATTGATGAACGGAAGAAGGTGAAAGTTTAGTATGATATATTTTTTGGCGTGCGTAAGATGCATGAATATTGATCTCAGAATCAGTACCGAATTAGAATTATCGCGCAGTTATGACCAGCGATACACCTAGCACGATTTATTTCACTTCTCACGTATTGACATAATGTACATTTAAATGTGTACTCAAGTAATGATATGCAGAGCGAGATGGCTTAAGTGGCATTTGCACGGATGAAAATATCTGTCGGGGTCTCAGACGGTTCCGAACACTTCACGGAAGGCTCAACGGCAACAGCATTAGACAACATCGGTTGATCCACGAAAGGAAGGCCCAAAGAGCTTTCATCGAATTCATATAGTTTTTCATCCAGAATTTCCCATGAAATGGCGATGTGGCCAGCGTTACAAGCGTTGCCGCCAGCCAAGTGGTCTAGAACAGAGTAACTGAAGTCAAGACCCGGCGCACTTTCTGCATTCCATATCTTGCTGGAAGAAGATCCGACGCTACAGCGTTCGCAGCCGTCTCCAATGAAGAGCTGCAAGTCAGAAGGTTGCCCATTCACAGAGACAACGACCCTCTTACCGCAATAAAGGGACGGATTCAAGCCCAGCTGCGTGCGGTTCATGGCGACTACTGAGTTCGTGTTTATCTGGTCAAGAGATAGCAGTACAGCAGGGCTGCACATCAGACCACCTTTGTTCTGGTTTCGGAAAGTAGTACCACAGCTGTCTACTTGCTCGATGTCATAGTAGTAAGTGCCAAAGCCTTCGTTGCAGTCAATGATTGAGCTTGCAGCGGCACAAACCACAAGCAGCATGTGAATCGCCTTCGTTGGTTGGAATCCCATGTCGAATCTGGTCTAAAGAGACTTGAGAGGAATCGAAGCATTTGTGAGCTTTAATATTAATCTTAGATTTTGAGACTTAAATTTTGTTGTCAAGATTCCTGTCAAAAGTCAAAGTTACTGTATATCCCTATTTTGAATCTTTACAAAAAAAGGTAACGTATTAGATTCCAAAACTATTTACTTTGGGTGATATAATGATGGCAAAACTCTCAGAGATACAGTACAAGTACAATTGATAAACCAATATGTATGCTTTCATGGAAGCGAGTAGTCTGCTCTCAATCTCCTTTGTATGGTTTTGGATCATCGTACTGATAAAAAAAGCGCCCGAAAAGGCCAGGAATCCAAATTTTGATTCCAACTACCAACTACACACCTGGAATGTTTTCAAGCTTATTGTGTAAAATTCTAATGGTCAAGGTAATGAGTCGTTCGGTAAAAGTTTCCCTCGGTGGTTTTAGTTTTAGTTTTTTTTTGCTTCGCTCAATTTCCTTGCAGGCAATGATCCCCGAATCTCAGATGCACTGTCAGCCAATAACTTGTATTCAGATTAGATGGTTAGGCTTGCTAGATCTGGAAGCAGCTGTTCTATATTTAATCGTTCTTTACAGCCCGGCATAACGGAAATGCGCTCGGAATGGACAGTAGCGGGAAGATCCTGGCTTCACCAATGGCGGCAATCCACTTTTTTCTCGCTCAGAAATTGTTCGAAGATAATGGGGAGGTCTTGATACTGTATGTAACGAAAGATGCTTTTCCTTTTGCAGTTATACCTTGATCGGATTTTGAGCTTTGGTAGAAGCCGTCTAGATGGCATTCTAGTACGCGCCCTCGAAAATCAGTTCCATATCCTCACTCTCTTCTCTCTATTTCTCAAACTTCATGGTGTTTGACGCCATGTTCCTCATACTCAACTTACTTCTGACCCATATCTGCGGTAGTATTTCAGCACGTTCATATCTACGCCGTATGGATCAGTGCTTGTCTAGATCATCCACTTATAAACAATCCAACCAAACTAAATCCATAGGTGTCAGTCAGTGGTCTAAACATTTGCCCCTCGCACCACTCTTTCTCCCCCCAATTGACACCCTTTACACTAGCTTCGGCTCTACATGTATATACACCCACACGGCGAATAAGAAGACAGAGGCATCGATATTTTACTAGTGGAATGGAATTTTCATAAAAAAACACCTTGTCCGCTCCCTCCGATACTGTACTGCATTTATCTGTATCAGCTTTCGTGAACCCTGGATGATCCAGATGTGCTTAACTCCGAGATACTAGAGAATTGATGGTGGGAATGCCTCTTTTTTCAAATATGATGAATCCCAAGGCCGGAACTCGCGATACGCTCCAACTCCAGGATAATACGTTCACGCAACACCCTCGAAGTATAGATTAGGCCCTACAGCGAGCCGTTGCCCCAAAAAGCTTGCCTAGCCTTGACTCTAAGTCCCACCAGAGACCGATTAGCTACCCCAGAACTCCGAGTATGGGTGTGAACCTCTGATCTGGCTTATCCTTATCTGGAGACATGAACAAGCTATGCAACAGCGCCAGAGATAAGAGCACAAGAAGACTTTATTTAGCCACGGAATATTGATTTTACAATACGAGAATATAACAGGACTTGATGCACAAGCAAGCAATTGTTTTTCCGTGTGTAGCGAAAAAGTAGCCTCCGACTGGTTGGCATTCTAAAGACAACCATAATATATCTAATCCATTGTAGGTTATCCATGAGAAATCACCGCTTCGCGTGTATCCAAATCGTATGAGTGATTGAACTTGTGCCGCACGTACCAAAAAAGTATGCAGAAGATTGAACCAACTTGATCCGACTGGCATCAGACATTATGCCCGTCAACAGTGCCCACGCTATGACTGGCGAGGGAACTACAGATACGAACTGTACTGTTACTGTATTCGACGCTGATGCAAGTCAGCTTCCATCTGACGACCCGGCAATCGACCAGATAATCTCAGTATTATCCTCCACTACAGGGCCAATCAGGCCAATTTTGAAAGAGCTCCGACGCAGCTGTGAATCCGCTATCCCTATATCATACAAATGTTGTACCCAACCCTCTCAAAATTCTGTCCCACAGCGACATGCTGCCTTTCTTTCGCAAACCTGGTGGTTGCGTTATCGTGAGAGTCACTAGGTTTTATCAAACTAGGGTCGAAGTCGTAATAGGGACGTGGAACAAAAAGGGCATCACTAGGAGAAAATGGCGCTGGTCAGTTACGTGCGTCCCTATCTGGAGCATTCTAGAAGAAATATGGATTCTGTGATCGGCTACAGTAAAACAAGCCACTTGTCCGTCAGGCCAAGCCATCATGGTCTGGCCGGTAGCCTATGTCGTCGGTGGGGCCAGGATTGCAGAAATTCAATTTTACGAGGATTGATCACTGAGACAGCGAACTTGATCTGTACTGTATCATCTACATGCGAGTTTATGAAAAATCAGTCTTAGAATCCATGACCTCGCCGCGAAAGGATAGTTTACCGTCATTTTGAGAAAAGTGGCTAGACCTGATCTGTCGGCTAAGATTAGTTGTGAAATGGAGTGTGCCCATTCTGTGAAAGTGGTAAAACTGGTGACTTTGAAGGAACTCTTGTTCAAGAAACGAAGAGAAAAAGAAAACAAGGGAAGGGCATCATGTATATAAAGAAAGCTCTCTCTATGTTGAGCAGTCCCTCGATATTCAGATTTCCCGCTCGCAAAAGAGAAGATTTGTACGTCGAGTCAATCATGATCATAAATTCGCACCTGGCGGCTTTTCACTAGCATCATGTACCCGTGGTAAACCCCCTGCCATAGTGCGGATGCGACACCGACGAGTGATAGCATCACGTGATCGATTGACAAGCGGTGCGCGCGACCCCTGGCTCTCTACATTTCCCCGGTTCGCGTCACATCACAAGCGCGATGGCTGACCGACCTGCAGGACTGTACCTTGGAATTGACCTTGGGACAACCACTATCACCGTAAGCTGGCAATGGTCCAACAGCGAGCTGAAACATCTTCTAAAATTCAACTCACCCTACACTGAAAAAACCAACGAAGAGCTGGACGCAACCCTAGCCCGTTCGCAGAGCACATGGTATTATGGGCTGGATGTCCGGTATTTGTCCGACGTCATCACCTTTGAAAACATCAAGCTAGGGATCATTGGTCAGGAGCCTTATACAAAACTACTGAAGGAGTCTTTTCGTGCGGCAAATCAAAAACATCGCGTGACCGAGACCCCAGTCACACTATTTCGGAATCTTTACTTGCACATCCTGGACACGCTTGCCGCGCAGTTCCTCGAACCAACTGAAAGCGAGAACCATTGCGGTGATCGGACTTTCAGTGAGATCCCGAAGCACTGCTGGGTGACGTACCCGGTGCGGCACAATGAATCGCTGAAGATCACGCTCGTCGAAGCAGCGCTTGCAGCGGGGTTCGATGGAGTGAACGGAGTCTCGGAGTCCTTGGCAGCGGCCTATTTTGTGGCATTTCACGCCAAGTACAACGTCTCTTCCTCCAGGACCATGTTGATTATTGACTGCGGCGGTGGAAGCACGGTACGCTTTGTACACTCTCACGCCAATCTTGCGAGCACTACTCACTCGTTCTCCAGGATGCTGCGACCGTTTATATCGACGGCAGCGGACGAATCAAGCAAGCGTGTCCCACAGATGGTCTGCCACGTCTTTTCTCTACAACCGGGTGGCTACTGACGACGAATAGGGTTCAATGGAGGAGGACATATGATCAACCATGCCGCGCGCGAGTGGTTGCAGGGTAAGTACCCTACGAATGATCATTTACGGGACGACAAACGATGGGTGGGGATCTCGTCTCAGTTTGAAGGATGTAAACGAGTCTTTGACGGCACATCATCCGTCAAAGTGGATGTGCTGGGTGATTTTATTCCAATAGATTGGTGAGTGCTCTTTCTGGTGACTTCACGCACCTACCACATGAAGTCAAATCGAAAAATCATGATCAATGGGAAAATCTATCTAACTTGGCGAACAGTGCCGAAATGGCCAATTTTTTTCAGCCTTTGATGTTGAATATCTTGGAACTCTTTCGCAAGCAGTACCAGAGTGCCGAAGACAATGGCCATGCAGTTGGCGACTTTATCCTGTGTGGTGGGCCTGCACGAAACCACTGGTTCGCCAAAACGATTTTTGATCAGATTCAAGAATCGCAGCCTGGAATGACATGTGCAGCGGAAGTGCTGTAGGTCGGCCATTACTGTAATACACCAGACGATAGGGCTAATGACACGCTTTCCTAGGGTGGGAACTGTGGCGAATGGGGCACTTTCCTACGCCCAACGCCCTGTGACGGAGGTCAGTGTGGCAAGTGAAGATATTGGACTCACCTATTTGGAGACACATTCAGCATCTGGTGTGCCTCTAGGCGGGGACAGAGTGGAAGAGGCCATTGGGCTACTGATCGAAAAGGTGATAATCTCTTTCGGGCGCAAGTGTAAGCCTTGGGCGGTGCTGATGACCCACAGGGCCAACCTGCCGGGCAAGGAAGCCATGTCGAACTGATCAAAACAATCTACCGAGATCGAACTGATCGAGCCAACCGGATCGTTTCATCCAAGGTATACACCACTACCCCGCAATTTGATCGCCGTCAGATACGCGACAATGACCGGATTGAGTGGGACTGTCGAATTGTCTATCCACTGAAAGGGCTACGGTCGCATCTCAACTTCCTGGGATGCATAGAAGCAGAGATTCCACACGAAGAGCTCTTTCCTTCGGGGAGCAGCCACGACAGGAAGGACGCGTACTTTATCGTATCTATCAAACCAGAGGGCCAGCTGCTGAAAGCGGCAGTTTCACTCAAGCGAGAAGGTGATACACCTTTGATACTTCAAAGGTCATATGTGCCCGCGGCCAGCTGGGCCCCTGAGTCGGAGTTCGACTTGGAGGGAAACCAGTTTGATGACTCTCTGGAGCCATTTTCCCCTAGCGGAG